ACGCTGCTCGGGGCGGCGCAAGCAGCCATTCGAGGGAAACGCGGCTTAACCAGTTAGGACCTGCTCCGACTGGAGTGATCGCGCGGTGTCCCTTCGCCCGATCTACCGTGCGCAGCCCCCGCTGGAAGGGGAGCCGCTCAGGCAGGGGCACGCCGCTCCAGCTGGCGAATGGAAGAGACGAAGAAAGTCCGGAAAGTCACGTACTGAGAGATCTTTCCGGAAAGAAAAGCCACAGCACGTTCACTTTGATTTTTTTTGGTCTTCCTAATTCGCACACCCCTCTGCCTGTCGTGCCTCCATTTCAAGTGAATTTGGGGAAGGGATTTCCAACACCAGAAAGGTCTATATTGCCAGGTTTATTTTTATTTTTTGCTTTGTTCATTTGCCTTTCTTTTGCCTAACGCAGCAATGGTTTAATGTCCCATAAGATTGTATTAATAAGTGATACTGTTTGAAGAACCGAAAGCACAAGTTTTAGAATTTGGAACATATCTGGCTATCTTCTCTGGAGGAGGTTTGAGATGTACGTTCTATTTCTTATGAAAAGCAGCGTCTACCGCCTTAAAGGCTATTTGTCCCTATGAAGTCTCACCATGAGTCAGAGAATTTAAATCTTTTTAACAAAATGAAAATCGTTTTGCCATCTGCAGACACTCCCAGGTATTTAATCTCCAGTTACTTCTGCGAGCTCTACCACAAACCTTTGGTCTCATTGAGAAATGTGACTCAGTGTTAACAATGCTGTTGGGAAACCAATGAAGGATATATAGCATTTTCATTTTATTGCTAAAAATTTTGTACTTGGCTAACCCCTTTGCTGATCAGAAAAAGAAAAAAATACTGTTGGATTTTTAAACCACTTACCCTTCGAATGCTGAATATGCAGCAACTTAAATGATCAGAAAACAGACACAGCAAATTCATAACAATATTATTATTTTGTGTAGGTGTATTTATTTTTCACTGTGCTGAGTGGCAGAACATACCATTTGGAGGAAGTCCTGAATGACGCTTTACAACTGCTTATGTTTAGGCCAACTTGTATTAAGCAAAGGATTCTGAAGGATGTCATTTTAAGAAAATACATCTTTTCATACCCAAACACTCTTTCACGGAGAACGTGCCCACAACAGAGAAAGAAATTCAAGTTAATCCACCTGCTTCGTGCTAAACATTATTTGAAAAGTAAACAAAACTTTTATAGAGAGCAGACCCTCAGGGGTTAACCCCCTCCAGCTTTAAATTTTATGCCTAACAAGATGCATTCAATGTTTATCCCAAGGTTTGATCGTTACTTGAGCATTTGACATAAACATGAGATTAATATGTCGTGAAAATGACCTGACTTCAAGGTCATCTGCTGTTAGAACAGTTTCCAATATAAAAAAACGGGGCGGGGTGGGGGCGTCCATGTTAAGCAAGGGAAGTTCTGAATTAATTTAGCCAAGTTCTTTGACTCCTAAGGGGAACTTGATCACTATTACTGCAGAAGTACAACAAAAATAGGTTGAAAAATGCGAAAAGGAAAGTGTGAGAAAAACTTCCATAGGACAGATAAACCACCAAACTACTTTAAATAAAAACTTGTAAGCATTGACGCAGCAAAAGAAAGAAAAAGAATGCCAGAAAGGAAGGAAGGAAGGAAAAAGTAAGAAAAGAAGAAATGAAGAAAGAAGGAAGATAAAATTGAAAAAGAATACATGTTCTCTTCCTTATCAAAGGTGCCTGATATATATTTTTTTCAGTTTTGCAAAAGTAGACCAAAAATGTTCCCTTATGTACCTCATACACCATCTCAAGTTAAGTAAATAGCACGGCTGAACACACTTGTATTATCTCCTTTAGAACATTCGCCTGATTAAAGACAGAATAACTCTGTAGGAACTGTTTAAAATAAGAAAATGGAATTGAAAAGCAAATATACCCAGTGTATCAAATGACACGGGGATGAAATGAAGTCCCATTGTTTTTAATCAATCCTTGTAAAACACAGTATTCACCTTCAGGATTGGGAGTAATTTATCAGGAAAGAAATGTATCAGGTGGTAACTTACCAGGAAAGTAAC